TGTGAATAGTGGTAGAATATCTACTGTGTTCCTTCGTTCATTTATTTTTATACATGTCAGGAAGACACGTTTACTGCGATCTATCAAATAATTGAATAGTTAGGAGATACAGAAACCATCACCTATTGCTATACTTACCTTTTTGATTACTTCAGGCCAAAAAGGATGGGCGTATACCCTGATCACTGATAAGGACATGGAAATGGCTGGACACTTGGTTCGCAATCTAGAAAGTGTCAATCCAAGAGGTTGGTCATCCTTTGACTTATTCGAGCGAGCAGAGAAAGGTGGAATTGTACAGCAATGAGCGACTGGTTACAGGTTCCACCAGCTCTTTTCTCTCTTGCAATGAAATCTGCTTGGTTCCGCTCACAACGTGGTGGTGGATCTGCTGCTAAACCACACGCCAGACTTGGTCTCGGCTATAAACCAAAAACTCGACCAGCTCCTGGTAGCGGAGGTAAGCCATCTCTTGATGAATTTTAACACACATTCACGCCGATGGCCGCCCATATGGGCTGCCAACAACATGCGCTCCTGGGACGATGGCAGCCCATATGGGCTGCCAACTGATAATCGCTTGCCAGGCGCTAGGAATGGACAGATAGGTGGCAAACCTCGTAATCGAGTGTAAAATGCTTTTAAATTCCTTCACGGGGAAAGTGAATAAATGCTCTCTTTTCGTAACCACTATTTGTCGTTCTGATCGAAATCCTACTGTTATATGTTTAGATAATCTTTACGCATTGGACATTGCAGAAATTATTTTGTGACATTCATGTTTTTGTTCATTTACAAAACAAAATCTGCGGTTATGTGGTGAGGCGGCGCGCCCACAAAATCGCGTCCGTCCCACGCGACCGAAAAGTGGAAAAGGGGCGTCGTCGTGAATGTGTTAAAGGCTATTCACGCTGGAAATCATGCTGCTTGCGTTACTTAAGTCAGAACATATTTAGCAGCTCAACTTGACCCTCTGAAAGAGCACAAACCGCGCGGTGCAACTAATCTTACAGTACGTGACGCAATAAGAGCTGCAACGAGTAATCAGTAAGTCTTTGGTATATAAGAAGCTTTCGAACTGCTTGTCTCCAAATTTTGCTTTTCTTTAGCGTGAGAGATTGTCATTTTTCTTTAACTCCATTGTACATTTTTAGGGGCCTGCAGCTGCCGCACCGAATGATAGGCTTCAAGCGATGAAGAATGCCTTCAAGGTTAGCGCCTTTAGCTTTTAAAATTAATATCGAGTAGTTAGAGCAGCGTTTTTGGTACCTTTCTATTCAAATTGAGTTTCTCCCGCGAGGCTTTGCTGAAATCCCTTCTTTCTGGAACCAACACGCCTTAGTTTTTTTATAGGTAATGTAATGGGTTAATATTCTACTTTCTACTCTTTCCTGAATTAACCATTAGTCGCTTTCCTAGGGCTTTAAAACTAGAAGGTGAATGGAGATGCACGGAGGAATGTGATAGGATAAGAGAAAAAGTTGAGGTCAAATTTACAGTCTATGCTCACCTTCTCCTTGTGCACAAATAAGCCTCCTTTTTGAACATCATGGCCCACTCTAATTTCTTTCTTGATTTTGATGGCGTTTCGCGTTCTTTTCGTTTTGTTGTACTTGCTTATGTTCATTGTAAATGTAGTGCCAGGAGCTTGTTTAATATAGGGAGCGTTGTGGGGCGTTCCTGCAGGTAAAACAAGATCAAGAGCGAAGTGTGCCTTACAGCCGTGCCTTTTTCGTGGAATTTGCTCATTTGGCCCTAGTTTATTCTTTAGGCTACTTGGGAGCAAGCCGTTTTTATGCGTGGAGGGGAAAAAAACAAAAGATGAGATTTTCTGTGTTAATCTATCGTTTTTGATGCCTCTCGCATTCTACTTCCATTAATAATCATAATGAATACGATATAGTCTATATATGAGTTACGGTGGCTAACAATGTGCCGTTAGTGGGCCATGCGCACGGGATAAGGCGCCACTTGCTACCTCACCACTACCGGCAAGGTGGAGGGGGAATTGGGAAGATGTATATTTTGGAGGGGGAGAAGAGGATGGAAATGATTGAAGTATTCTCTGAGCTGCCACTTTCTAATGTATTTGCAACATTGTGTGACGCTTCCGTAGCATAGTTTTTTTTCAGCAGTCTTTTGCCGCGACATTCAAGCCGTCTGAATTGGAGACGTCGAAAATCAGGCCACAGGTGATTACTCAGCGTCTTCTTGCGTTTTTGTTGCTAGATTTCTTTCTTCAGATGATTTCCGATCCCCGTCCAGAATGGAAACGTAAGATCGATGAAATCAACGCCAAACTTCAAGCTGAAGCTCAGTCGCAACAAGCGCAATCTTCTACTGCTTCTTCGACGAGTAATGATGACGGATCGTCATCCAAAAAGAAAAGCAGGTGGCAGTGAGAAGGATAGGCGTGAAATTACCAGTATCGTTATCGTTATCTAATGTAGGGGTGTACACTTAGGCAAGGCTTTGCTACTTCTTGCGAGTATGCCAATGAAAGGTTGACGTTTTCCTTTCACATCGGAATGATGTTTGGGCTTTTTTTTTCTGCGTGACGTCACAGATGTTTCAGTGAGGCATGCAGTCATTTCGTCTATTTTTAAGGGGTTTTGAACTTTGAATTCATTTTGTGCAAAAAATGGAACATTATATTTTTGACTTGTTTTGATTGTTACATGCGATTATCACAAGAATTCGGAGTTATGGATAAAACTTTTCACCCGAGACGGGATTCGAATCCACATTGTATCATTGTCGACAGAAGTCTGATGAAACGTAGATGGTAGATTATGCCGGTGTGAGGCTCATGCAACGCTCATTCCCGTGGTTCCACGCTCATTCCCGCTTGCGCAGGTAAATTGGTGCATAAGCCCAAAATTTTCGCGGCGCAGCATGGTTCTGAGTGATCTATAATTTCCGCCATCTGTTTGAAATAGTGCCTCTATGTCATCTGCATCTGCATCGTCATCATTAGTGTTCTGCTCCGATCGATTGAAGTCTTGATCGCGGAATCCGCACCGCTTGAGCGCATGCGGTACTCATGTCTTGTGAACTTGATTCAGTCCCCACTCGCGACTGTGAGATTGTCTGTGTTAGTTATGATTTTTGCCGTACTTCCCTCTTTTGTTTAAAATAAACACCCTTCTTTTCAGGGAATCTGTGACGTGGAAACTTCGAAATTTTCTTCTTCGCATGCTGCGACGTTTTGATGGACGCGATCTCTCGAAGTCGTGCTCTAATTATAGAAGACGCAGTACCATGCTGCTGGGCTCGTTTCCAGAGTTATTGTATGTGGCTGTTCAGTTTTTGAAGTGATAAAATGTCGTTTTGTTCTAGTTGCATAGTGTTGTACGGGTAAGGGATCTCTACATTGATGTTTTTCACAAAGCGTTTTTGATAAAAGTTATATTTAAATTCGAATCTTCCATTTAAGACGTCGTACTAATTACAGCTGAGAGGGGTATCGATGGTTCTTCCAATCAAAATTAACTTATCACCTTTGTCTCTTGTCAGGCTCAAATTCGAGAAAAAAAAAAAACAAATTCAATGGATAAGGTAAAAGGCACCCCCACTTTCTTCACGATTTGGGGCGCGGCCGCGGCAAACCCGCGGCGTTCGCGGCCGAGTAGTGCGGCATCAGCTTGCCTGAGTATTCGACGTTACATTACGTGTTAGTTCATCCGATCGTAACGACACGTAATGTAACGTCGATACTCAGGCAAGCTGATGCCGCACTACTCGGCCGCGAACGCCGCGGGTTTGCCGCGGCCGCGCCCCAAATCGTGAAGAAAGTGGCGGAGCCTAAGGTAAAATGGTGGAAAGAATGGGCGTGAAATCTCCATTCTGGACTACAGAAATCACTGTTTTGTTTTGACACTTCAGTGCAGTGATTACTAAAGGACGTCACAAATAATAACTTCCAAGAGATTGGTGTGATTGGAGTGTGGTTCACTAGAACAGAAAGCGACTTGTTCGCGTTTCACGTGCCTGCAGGAACTTCAGGTCCACTCATGGTCAGCAGTGGACGCGAGGTTCCTGAAGCGAAAAATGTTTCGCGCTGCGAAACGCGAAAAGTTCGATTTCTATCTAGTGAACCACACCCTGTAATTGGACCCATTGCCTATCGCGTGGTGCTAGTGGTGCAGCACGCTGATTCGCCTCGTTGAGGGCGCGCGTTCCATCTGGAGCATCATCGTTTGTTTACAAAGGGTGCGTGACGATTCAATCGTGGCGATGGCTAGGTCGCCGCGCCAGCCGCCGCAGCCCGCGATGCGACGTCGGTCGTGGCTAGAATTCCTGGTTCTAGCACTGGGGAATGTAGGACTAGATCGACCATTCGTGAAACACGGTTTATGATCACCTCTTAAAATACAGGGTTCTTGTTCGTTGCAAATCAAAAATCTTGGGCAAAGTGTCGCAGGATTTTCTGGACAACCCAATATTTAGAAGTGAGCGCTTAAAGGCATGGTCCGGGATAGGCCATCTTCACCTGTTCCATCCCAGATTGTGGTAGACAGGCAGACAAGCTTTGATGACCAGATGACTCCTGCGCCAAAAAACTAATGTCATACTCGTAATCAGGGCGCTGAATAAGCCTTATAGCCGATGTTCCAGGAAAAATGAGATTTTGACCCGATTCCGAACAATTGGACCATGGGTAAGTTAACAGCGGTTGGACCTAATGGTGGATGATCTGCAGGCGGTCTCCTTCTCATCTAGAATCGCACGCTGATGAGAAACCCTGGTCAAAAATGAGTAAGGGCAGACACCAAAGGTGGTATCGGGGCACCACGCACGATGACTTGGTGACTAGGTCCTCTCGTCAAATAATGAGAGTTTGAGTTTTCGGCCCTGCCACTAACTATTAGGCCTCTTGTCGGTAGCTAGATCGGCTTCAAAGAATGCTATGACGTGTGAGACGTGTCCTATAGGGGCAAAGCCTCGATTTCCGGGTTTGTCATTGAAGGGTACCATTAATTTTCTTGTCGTTCGTGGACATAAGTCGCATTGTCCCTACGGCCGGTCTAATTTTTCGGAGTCAAGTCGAAATCTCTCTCCTACAAAACTTCGGTGTTGGGTCAGATGAGCGCCCTGATAACGAAAATGGCATTCTTTCCTGGCGCCAGCGCAATTTGGAGCCACTTCTAAAGTAAGGGTCGCGTGTTTCGTTCCTTCCAGGGTTGGTGTTTTGCTTTTTTTCCAACATGGCTGAAAAGCCTTTTTGAATCCGTTATTTTATCAACGGTCGCCCGACGCTACATCTACGAAGAGTTTGCAAGCTGATCCCTCTTAAACTTAAGCACTACTTGTCTGTGAGTGCCTATGGTGCCCGTAGTGCAGGTGCTATGCTTTTCCGTGGCAAGTAGGCACGGCATTCGTATTCAGGAATTCAACCACTCTAAGAGATGTTTTTTTGCCCAAATCTGAGGCGACGAAACTAATTGAGAAAAAGGAGCAGTGATGGGATTACCACTCCTCAAACTCCACTTTTTTGGGTTGACCAATCATGGACGACGGGGAAAGGGGAGAGAAGGTGTTGTATTAGGAAATAATGCTTTGCAGATCTTTGGATGATGCAGACGGGCAAGCCAGACACAATTTTTGTCTATTATGAAAAGTGTTTAAAGGTTTATTCTACCCAAGTGCCAGCCTTTTGTAATGGATTGGTGGATCGAAGTAGGCAGGGTCAACCCTGCGTTGCGCAAAGAACAACGAGGGGGTCGTATTCAGCCGACCGAAAAGGGAGGGGGTCGTATCCACAACGGGCTGCAAGACGGCTTGAAAAGTGCAGTGTCCGGGAGTGCACTTTCAGCCTCTAATGTTCTCCAGGAGCTCTGCACGCTGTCGGAGAGTCACACAGACATGAGCTCCATGGGAGCATTAAAGCATGCAGAGCACTATAAGTCTCACCATCAGCTTATTATCCTTAATCGACGCTATCCGGACGGCGCTTTTGCTCCGCGGCATAGATCAAGAGTACAATAGACAATAGCCAAAAACTTTGTTACAGTGTAGTGCAAAAACATGGTCTGTCTTCGATGATGAAACATTCCTGAAATCCCGAGGAGAACAAAGTGTAGAGCAGTTCATGGGAAAGTGAAACAAGAGTGCCATATAACAGCACAATACAACTCAATCAGGATACTAACACCTTCTTCAGGAAAACAGAAGACTTTCAAATGCGAGTGCGAATTCTGCCCACAGATAGGTGCACGGCGTATACCCGAGCAGGCGTTTTCCATAAAAACGCCTCCTCTGTCAGCGGCCGTAAGCAGACAAACTTTCTGAAGAGAGTTTTGATGCTTTCAAATAAAATCTAAGCGAAACAAAGTGTAGCGAATTTGCTGAATTGAGTTCTAGAGACGCCGTAGGAAAATTGAGGCAGAAGAAGGAATTTCAGGGAAATTTCACAGTTTATGAAGTACTCTTCGAGTGGATTCCAACAATCTTTACCGCTTCTCATCACATTAATTTCAAAGGAAGTTATGGGCCTTTGAAGACTGCATAGTCGCGGTCCAGGAAAATGGCTTGAAAAAAATCAAGGTGGAATTGACGGAACAACGGGACTATTTTTTGAGCGAGTGATTATTTCAAGAAGTTTTAGCACTTATTCGAAAGCTCTAATCCTCTAGTTTCTAATTAGCCTTAGACATCTGCAAAATGTTGAGTATGAAGAAAGTTATTAACGTTTGAATGTCGAAAACTCGCGCCTTCTCAAAAATCGGACCCCAAACCACCCAAGAACGGAACAACGGGACTATTTTTTGAAAAAATGATCGCTGGAAAATTTTCAGGTGCTTGTTCGAAAGCTCTAATCTTCTAGTTTCTAATTAGCCTTAGACATTTGCAAAAAGTTGATTATGAAGAAAGTTATGAATGTTTGAATGTCAAAAACTCGCGTGTGCACAGAAAACGGAACAACGGGACGATTTTTTGAAATACTTGAACATCCACAACATTTCAAATACTCCTCAGGAAGAAAACTATTTATATTTTCAAAATTTTGGTGTCCGATTTCATGAAACAGCTTCTGAAAGAAAATATAACCTTCTGAATGGAGGGGTTTGGATTGCAATGTAATTGCTACAAGGTTTAGTTTTTCAGATTATAAGGTAAGGAAAGTTGAGAGATCGAAAAAATCCTGGTGGGTTTCTGAAAGTAGAAATCTTTACGATTAAAATGATGTATTGGTTTACGCAAAAATTTGGAAATTCCTTCTATTTAATGAATAAAACTTCATTTGCCTCGATTCCCTCCTCTGAGCGAGACAAAGCGCGCGGATTGACCACGGTCCACCACTTCTCCATGTTGGTGACTGCCATCATTGATGAGCATTGATGAGCATTAAATTATGTGAAAGACATGATAGTTAATATGGGGGGGGTCGTACCGATACCCC